ACCTCTGATCGTTTTGGACTACCCGAATTATTCAAGGGAGGATGTGAGGTAGGCGGATTATTTGAAGGAGGATTGGAACTAGCCGGATTATTTGAAGGTTGATTTGAACTAGCCGGATTATTTGAAGGAGGGTTGGAACTAGCCGGATTATTTGAAGGAGGATTTGAACTCTTTCTCTGAAAGTACCGTTCCATAACTGTATAGAGAGAGCTAAATAAGAAAAAAAAATTATTGTGATGCACACACACTTTGATGAAATTGGGTGATGTTAAATTGGTCTTTTATAAAGAGAATTCCCAATTCTACTTAATTAAGGAATTCCCAAAACCCAATTGAATAAAGAGAACTCCCAATTAAATCCCATTTAACTAAGGAAATAGAAGCCCATTTGAAAAAACCCACAAAAAGCCCACGCACAGCAATGACAGCATCAGTTTCCGGTTTTTTTATTAAATTTAAAAACTATGGTCCAAAACGACGTCGTTTTGGCCAGGTTTAAAAAAAAAAAAAACAAGCAGCGTGTTTTAAAACAGCCTGGTCCAAAACGATGTCATTTTGGCCAGGCTTCGTTAAAAAAAAAAGGAGAGCGCGCGCGCACCAGCAGCTACGCAGCGCCTACTCTTTTGCGCATTTCGTCGAACACCTTCTGTGCGTCGCTGGTCTGCAGCAGAGGTGCAACTCCAGCACCTGTAATGGCGATTTCCGGCGACCGGAGGTGCGGGCGCGCCTCCTTGCGCTTGCACAGGTCCGCCACTGGGTATGCTCCTATGCCTCCTTCTCTGTCTCATGGTACAGGTATACTTCCAACAGTTGCTTTTTATGCTTCTAGTACTCATAATCGACTTTCTGGTCCATGTGGGGTGTCTGGTTTGAGTGCTGCTTCGATGTATAATGGGTCTAATGGCTTTGGTAGAGGAAAGTATTCTAATAGGGGTTTTGGTAAACCAGTATTTGCATCTTCTCCGATGTCTGGCTCCCAGGTCTCTGGCTCCAAGTTTAGTTCTAACTCCTTTCATAAGAGCAACATTGTCCCTGAATGTCAGATTTGTTGCAAGCGGGGCCATACTGCTGTCAACTGCTATTTTAGGCATGATGCTTCTCCTGCTCAGGGCTCTACACTAGTGGTTGAATGCCAGATCTGTGGCAAGAGGGGTCATGGAGCTCTCGATTGTTTCCAGAGATCCAATTACTCCTATCAGGGGCAACCTCCATCTTCTAAGCTCTCAGCTATGACTGCATAGAGCTCTTATATGCCTAATCAGGTTTGGATTGCAGACAGCGGCGCATCTCATCATATGGTTGTAGATATTTCATCTTTGCATCAGGTTACTCCATGTGCCTCTGCAGAATAGGTTACAGTGGGAAGTGGCGAAAGTTTGGAAATTCAGAATATTGGCACTACATCTCTTTCTTGCAACTATTCTTCGTTACATATGCCTTCTGTTTTTCATGTGCCTAAACTGTCTGCAAACCTCTTATCTGTTAATCAATTGTGCAAGGACAATTAGTGTATTATATGCTTTGATGCTTCCGGTTTTTATATACAGGACAAGCGAACCAAGACCATCCTACTCAAAGGCCTGAGCCGTAATGGTATCTACCTTATCCCTTGTACATTGTCTCAGCCTTCATTGCCCAAGGCAGTGGCTTTGCTTTGATAGAAGGTTAGTTCCTCTTTGTGGCATCGAAGACTTGGTCATCCTACCAATGCCGTCGTCAAAATGATGCTCAAGAATTCACAGTTAGGGTCTCTAAGTGATGAATCAAGTGTGATTTGTTCTTCTTGCCTTCATGGGAAAATGCACAAGCTTCCTTTCACAAAGACACATGTTAAAACTAGGATTCCTTTTTCTAGGATCCATAGTGATGTATGGGGTCCTTCCCACTTTAAGTCTCTAGATGGCTATAGGTACTTTGTATCATTTCTGGATGAATGTACCGGTTACTTATGGCTTTTTCCACTATTCAATAAATCAGATGTTTTCTCTAAGTTTCTTCATTTCACTGCTTATGTTGAGAATCAGTTTAAGGCATCTATTCAGTGCTTACAAAGTGATGGAGGTGGCGAATATATTAACCACCTGTTTTCTCAGTTTCTATCATCAAAAGGTATTCTCCATCAGTTGTCCTGTCCATACACACCCTAGCAAAATGGGATGGCCGAAAGAAAGAATAGGCATGTTATCGAAACAGCTATCACTCTTTTGACTGAAGCATCATTACAAGGGAAGTTTTGGTTTCATGCTACTGCTCATGCTGCGTATTTAATAAATAGAATGCCTAGTTCTGTTTTGGATAATCCAGCTCCATATTTTCGATTATTTGGTGAGGATCGTACTTTTCACTCCTTGAGAGTTTTTTGTACAGCTTTATATCCATATCTTCACCAATACAATGTGCACAAGCTACAACCTCGAACTGCTCAATGTGTGTTTGTAGGATATGCCACATGATATAAAGGGGTTATTGGCTACAATTGTGCAACTGGAAAATGTGTGATCTCTAGGCATGTAATTCATGACGAGTCTGTCTATCCGTATGTGCCCTTCACTACTCCTAAGCAGTCGTCTGTTGTGAATACATCTCCTATCATAATTTCACTACCATCTCAATCCCATCAAGATTCACAGCCTGCAGTTAATGATGTATTTGAGGATGAAGTTCCCTTAAGCTCTAGCTCCGTTCCAGCTCAAGCTATTCCTAGCAATGCTTCCATGTCCTCTGCGTCTTCCTCATCACAGTCTGCGAATTATCAGCCAGTATTTAGTGATCAACAATTACAAGTGATACTACCTTATGAAGCACCTTCCTCTCTTCCCCCTTCTCCTACTCCCGCACCAGTCAACACTCATGCTATGCAAACTAGATCCAAGTCTGGTATCGTTCAACCAAAACAGTTTCAAGAGTATCAAGGCTATTTCAACTGTTTAACAGCAAGTGTTGAGCTAGATGAACCTTGTAGTTATAGAGTGGCGTCTTACTCAGCTGAATGGAGGCAAGCAATGCAGGAAGAAATAGATGCCCTTCAGTTACAAGGTACTTGGAGTTTGGTGCTTAATCCTGGCAACAAGAATATTGTTGGCAGTAAATGGTTGTATAAAATAAAGAAGAATTCAGATGGCTCTATTGCAAGATATAAAGCAAGGCTAGTTGCTCAGGGATTCAGTCAACAACCAGGATTAGATTTTGGAGAAACGTTTAGCCCTGTCGTTCGGCATACCACAGTTCGGTTGATTTTAAGTCTTGCTGCTATGAATCACTGGTCGTTAAGGCAACTAGATGTGAAGAATGCCTTTCTCCATGGAGATTTAGAGGAGGAGGTGTTTATGCGCCAACCACAAGGGTATGAAGATCCTGCTTATCCAGGATATGTGTGTAAGCTCAAGAAATCCTTGTATGGTTTGAAGCAAGCTCCAAGAGCTCCAAGAGCTTGTATGGTTTCAAATTATCGCATTCTGATCCAAGTCTGTTTGTCAAACACGAAGGTTCAGATGTTGTAGTGTTGCTGCTGTATGTGGATGACATTATATTGACTAGGTCTAATGCAGATTTGATACAAACTATGGTTGACAACTTGGGTTCAGTATTTGAAATGAAAGACATGGGTCGCCTTGCCTATTTTCTAGGATTGTAGATTACATATCCCATCTCAGGAGGTTTGTTTGTGAGTCAAACAAAGTATGCTAAGGATCATTTGCATAAAGCTGAGATGCACTCCTGTAGAGCATGTTCAACTCCTTGTAAACCACACAATCAAATTCTGCAAAGCAGTGGTGAGCCGTTATCTGATCCCACCATGTATAGGAGTGTTGTTGGGGCTTTACAGTATTTGACATTCACAAGACCTGACTTGGCCTATGCTGTAAACACAGTTTGTCAGTATATGAATAGTACTACTAATGATCATTGGTTTCTAGTTAAAAGAATCTTAAGATATGTTCAAGGTACTTTGAACTTTGGGATTAGGTTTACTAGTACCAGCCCTACAACATCAAGTGATCCTTGGCAGCTGTCAGCCTATAGTGATGCCGACTGGGCTGGAGATATCAACACCAGAAGATCTACCACAGGTTTTGTAGTGTTCTTAGGAAATAATCCCATCTCTAGGGAGTCCAAAAAGCAGGGCTCAGTCTCCAGAAGCTCAACAGAGGCAAAGTATAGCACTTTGGCAAACACTGCTGCAGATATTGCCTGGATCAGACAAGTCCTGCAAGATTTGAAATTCTTTCTACCTAATCCTCCTGTGATGTATTGTGACAGCCTATCTGCTCTAGCACTTAGTTCTAATCCTGTTTATCATTCCAGGATCAAACACCTCGACATTGACTATCATTTTGTGAGAGAGAAGGTTCATAAGAAAGACTTACTGGTACAGTATGTTCCTACAGAAGAGCAAATAGCAGATGTGTTCACAAAGGGACTACATAGTCCTATATTTTCACAACATTGTAATCATCTTCGATTAGGGAATGTAACAGGGTAGGGAAAATGTGAACTATGGATATTAAACAGTTAGTGAGTTAGGTGTGCAAAGCACGTGAGTGGTTAGTAGTGAGGAAGTTAGACAGCTAGATTGGTTAGACGGTTAAGCCTTGCTTAATAGGTATAAAGTGTAACAGTGCTGTAGCAAAACAGATTAAGCAATATAGAAATCAAGATTGCAAGTTCTCTCTGTTTATCTTTCTCTCTTCTTCTTCTTCAGATCTCTTTCTCATACTTCTCTGAGAATGTTGGTTAACATTCCAAACATCAAATAGTACATTACATATATACAAGCATAGCCTTTTATCAATCCTACTATTAATGCTTAGAAGCCGTGATCCGATATTAGTGGGATTTGACCTACATTAATTTGGGCAAGTAAAGATATTATAAATATTTACAAAGACATTTCATAATAATGGGTGGGGTTTGTCAAATCATATATATATTATTTAATATGGGGCTTTTGGGCATGATTTCTTGCGGAGAGTTTTCGGGGAGGAAATGGAACATACAAAACATATTCACTGCGGTTGTGTTTTTGGCTTTGCATTTGCGCCATTTCATTTCAATTGGCCCTTCATTTGCGCCCTTTCATTTCAACTGGCCTGCATCCCAACTTTAAATTCTATCTAAAAATTGTCATTTCTCAAATTTCAAGAGAAATAGAGTTATTAAAAATAAAAATAAAAACTTTACAAATAAATGTTAA